GGCTTTAGGGTTCAAGGTTTCCGAGAGGCGAGGCTTAGTAGCTGGGAGTTTCCGAAAATAGGGGACCCTAATGGAGTACCCTATATATTAGGATCCTTATTATAAGGACCAACTCCCAGTGGAGTAGGACTTTTGTGGGTGCATGTAGTTGTTACTACCGGAGCGAACAACTCACGCGCAGGTTCACCTGGAGTTTAGGCAGGAACATGCAGCAACTAGGCGTTGAGGCTGCAGGTGACAGGATCCAGTGATCCCCACACTGTCGTAAACTGAGATGTTTCATTCTGCTGCATTTTGGGCTTGTGGCTATAAGATTAGGGATTGGGCGAAGATTTCGCAGTAATCCGGTGATACGTGTACACCTTTTGGGCTCAGAGCTTGAAGACCATACTGCACTTCCTCGAACCTTAGCTTGTGTTGTTGATCTGAATTCCGAAGCCTATCTCGTACATCATATGCTTCAGATATCGAGCTTCGTAACAAAATCCAATCCCTACTAGGTTCTCTGATGTTAAACTCCTTTACAACTTAACAAAAGCCCCAGCGGGAAAGGTCAGATGGGCTTCAAGGACCACACCAAGAGCGGAGGACGAGGATTGAACTTTGTCCCTGCTCCTTGGACTAATATAGGGGCTTCAATAATTAGAATAGGCTTTGGGGCCTATTGTACTACACTTATACATAGTATTGGTAATTATTTAGGCGCCTATACTAAACCCCTTTTTGTACCCCTTGTAGTAATCCTTAAAGACCCATCTAAATGGAACCCTTAAAGGAACCCCATTCTAGTATTGGTAATAATTCAGGCCCCTATATTACCCGAAACTGAAGATAGAAGCTCTGAAAGATGGTTTTGCAGAGTTTAAGGTGGTTAGCAATTTGGGGCTTAGAGTTTCGCTCGACTTTTCGGATCTAGGGATTTAGGGTCTTCAGTATGTGACGGTCACGGTCAGACCGACAATAAAGGTTCAGAGCTGGGTTGCTGGGCTTTTGGGATCATGGTTTCGGTCTGCACATGGGCGGCTTCTGTTTCGGGATTTCAAGCTTTGGGCTTACCAGTTCGGCCGTAATTTCTCCATGAGTCCTAACCAACAAACAATGTGAGTCCTGGTCTCCTCAAACAGCAACTGTGTGGGTGCGTGTATATATATATATATACACACACATATGTACACACATACATATATAGATGTGTATGTGACACGCAAGAGGGAGGCCTGCATGTTTTTGTTTTAAAAGTTGAGCTGCTTCCGGCGTTCCTTCTCGCCGTGCAGGCTGCAACTTTTAAGCATGAGCAGTACAAGCACGAGCACGACGCCTCCTTTTATAATCCCTACCATTCCTAAGCTAAACCACTGAGCACTCAAGCCTGCAACCCTCAAGCCTTCATCTCCACACCCCTAGAGTTCTGGACGCTGACCCCCTAAACCCTAAAGCCTCAAATCCCAGACCCCTAAACCCCAAATGACTAAACAACAAGATTAGCATCCATGTAAACCTTTGAAAAACGTTAAACCAGAAACCCTTTTCCCAGTCGTAGCAACAACATCAGCAGCTGAGGTCCACCTGCCCCACATGTACAACGACGTGAAGAACTTCCTGGGACTACTCAGGTCTGCGGTCCTCTATTTAAGGGGTTTCTAAAAGGGTTTGTAGGGTTTGCTGGGGGGTTCGATGATGGGTTTCACGGTTTCTTTAAGGGTTCCTGTAAGGGGTGCTGCAAGTTTTTCTGTACGGTTTCTATGAGGTTGGTATGTTTACTTTCAGGGTTTAGCATTTCGGGCTTTAGTAATCAGATTTTAGGGTTCAGCATATTTAATTTTGGGCTGCAGGGCTTTTGGTGCCGTTACAAGCTTGCATATCAGGGTTGAGGCTTTAGGCGAATTGAGGTCCGCTTGCAGGGCTTTCACTGAAGAAAAGAGTAGGATCGTCATCAGTACACAGACGAGTCTGAACTTCTCCTAAGCAGAGGAACAAAAGCCTGTAATGAGACCCTATCCAAAACACTCCCAAACCCAGCTCTAAACCCTAAGCCGTACTGTTGGGGGTCCGAAGAAGTCGCAATAACGTCCGCATAAATAGTCAATATCGTCCCTGCATAGCACGATGCGAAAGGCCACCCCAGAACCCTCGACGCTGCAAAAGCAGGAAACTGAGCTTCAGCTCTTGAGAAGAGTGCACAGCATTGCTTCGCAACAAGACAAGCCGGAGCCACCCTTGCGAGCAAACCACCGTGTGCAGCTTGCATGCCCTGCATCTACCAATTTGCCTTGAAGTTTGCCGGAGGCAAGTCAGGCCGCCTGCTCTTGGGAACGGAAAGGTTCCTCAGAGCCAGCGGCTGTTCCACCTCCCTCGGCCCCGGCTTCTGGGAGCAGCTCGTGTACGAGCCCAGGGGTTCGGTGGCAATCCCCTTCTTTGGACATGCAGTCCTGAAGTTTGCATACTCGGGCAAAGCGGCCATCTATGCCTCTGATGTGAAGAAAGTCTACGGCAAGGACAGCCTGGAGCAGGCGAAGACTCCCTTAGAAGCTGAGTAGGTAGCCTTTAACTTTAACCTTCTGGGTTTTATGTACTTGTATAATCCTACCATAATTGAAAAGGTTTAACGTGTCTTGGGCTAAGTAAGCAATCTTCGTCCCGGAGCGGTCGAAACTGCGCCTCGAAGGGTGGACTTAGGCGACCTTGGAAACAAGTTTCACGTCTGGTGACTACAACCCTTAAGAGACAGCTAAGTTGCGATGTTTGATTGCCATAATCTAGCAAGGCACGTCCACGGTGGAAGCGACCTCTTCTCCCTCTGCGAAGCTTGCAAAGGCCGCCGGCGTTGGCACTGCTTGGTTTTGAGGTTAGAGGTTACGAGTCAAAGAAGGACCTTCAGAGATTGGGGGCTGATGTGGGACTATGATCTTTTTAGGACAGTAGGTGTTGACGAGATTTTACTTGGATCCTTACACTATGCAGTACAGAACACTGTATAGCTCGGTCGCGCATATGGTCGAACTAGGGCATTGGGTGGGGCATCGACTTCAGCTAGCCTGCAGATTTTCAAAAGCCCCAAGTCTCGGTCAGATACTGCCTAAACCCCTAAACCCTAAACCCCTAAACCCCTAAACCCTGAACCCCTAAACCCCTAAACCCTAAACTCTAAACCCTGAGCCAAACATGACAACGGGACCTTGAAAGGCGTCTCGGGCCCACGAGGCCTGCTTGGTCCTCCTCCCACTAAGCTCTGGCATGTTCGGGTGCACGCAGAGAGTTTCCGAAAATAAGGGTACCTTATTTTGGGGTCCTTATAATAAGAGTCCTACTATTTAGGGTACTATTTTAGGCTCCCCTCTATTCGGAAACCCCCAGCATGCTGAACACAGGCCAGTACCCGGACCACGATTCCGAGTGTCCTGAGCTCAGCGTGTGCTCGCAGACAGTTGGGGTACGCCTTAGGTTGAGCCCCTGACCTGCTGCGGACGGGTCGAACATGTACACAAGAGAAAAACCGACAGAACCTACTAGAGAAGCCTCCATAAAGCTAGGTGTCCCCTGATAGTCCACATAATGCTATAGTCCAACAGACCCCAAAGCCTATTTTGATCACTGGCAGTTAGAAGGCAGGTTCTGCTTGGATGCATTCCGACATTGTAGATTGATAAGGCTAGTAAGACGAGTCATGCGAGCTGTTTCCGTGTCATAACGGACGGTGAGTAGACTTGCTTAGTAGGTAGGGTCAGCATCGGGCATTTTTTGTAAAAGCAGGGGGAGGCTGAGTAGTTAAAGAGTCAAGAGGAGCCTCCTGGCTCGGGTGCGAAAGGGTCGACTTCCCGAAGGGTTTAGGCCTTGGGATTTGTGTTAGTACGGTTGATGATACAAATCCTGCATTACCCGTAATAAGGAGTATGCCGTAATTCCCATAGTTTAGGGTCCTTAAGGTAATGATTTAGATCATCAACAGTAGTAACGACTGGCAGGAACCTGGTCCGAGGGTATCTGGCAATCCTAAACCCTAAACGTGGAGCTTGCAAGCTCAAGTGATGTAATACAGGGGCACTAAAATGCTACCAATACTATTTTAGGGTTGGCTCCTTGTTACAACTACAATATAATATCCCCAAAGCCTACTCTAATCACTCCGGGATCCTTCAACCCAGGAGTCCGACATCCCTTAGAAGGGGCCCCCACCCTGTAATAGTGGTATAATGGGAATAGAATAGGGCCCTAATATAGTCCTAAAATAGCCTTATAGTCACTATTACAGGGTGGGGGGGCCCCTTCTAAGACATCCCAAAGTCTTAGACTCTGAAGCCCCATTCCCCTAGACTCTCAACTCTTAGGGTCAAGCTTTCGCACTCTAAAGGCCCTAGACCCTAAAGGCCCATTTAAATTCTACCTTAGTAGCTGAGTGGTATACACTGTACACTTTTTGGGATAGTAGTACCCCACCAAAAGGTTGAAAGTTTACACTTTTGGAGGCTTATGAACCCAGCAACTACGCTACATCCCCTAAACCCTAAACCGCTAAACGCAGAGCCTCAAGGCCTAAGCCCGGGTTGTGGCTTTGACTGGGGTGTGGCTGCGGCCCTAGGAGCTACGCCAGATTTCCAGCCTGCCCAATATAAACCCGAAGAGCCACGATCCTGAAACCCCCAAGGCCTCAAAGCCCTTACAGCCCCAACCCTAGGCTCTGAACTCGCTATAAGGCTTGGCTTTTGGCATCTTCCACAGCCGCGACGATCCCTTCTCCATGGGCAAAATTTTGGACCTCCGCAGGAGGGCACCGTGGGATTTAGGGTATAGGGTTTAGGGGAGAAGGTTGAGACTTTAGTTTTGAGTTAAGTTCAGAGTCACAGGAAAGGGCAGCGCCAAGGGTTTGGAGTTCAGAGGGAAAGGGTGTAGAGTTTAGAGTTTGGAGGACGGGGTTGAGAGCTTAGGATAGCTCCTCGGGATTTCGTACAGGTGCCTTGGCAATCAGCACGTTCTTATAAGGTGGCGATTGAATCTTGCCCAAGGTTGACTCATTACTGGCGAGCCTCATCATGCACTTTCCGGACTTGGGGTCAGTGGGTCTGCGGACTCCACCTGGCCCCGAGGGTGACAAAGTTTGGTTTGTCATGATTGCACTTGTATGCCACAACACAGCACGACAGGAACGACATGATATCGTTCACGAGAACACGTTTGGCATCTTATGGTCCGATGACGACGTGTCTCGCTTCATGTTGGAACATCTCTTGTCAGCTGGCCTGGATTCCTCGGAGCCTGCTGATGTACCCCATTGCCCGTGTTGGCACGACTTGCCAGAGCAGAAGCACAGGTCCCTTACTGCCACCACCTTCAAGCGCCGTGCTGGAAAGTGGTGGAGCTCCACAAAGCAGGCTCACGGCCGGATGTTCGGCTGCTTGAGGTTCGACACGAGAACCCGCACGTTCCCTGCAGCTACATCTTCTATCGCTAGGACAAATTGGCATTAACTGTTCAGGTCTTCTAGCAATAAGGACAACTATTTGGTTAACCGGTTTTGTGATTACTTACAGCCTCAGTTAAGGCACTTACAACCTTACTATGTCCTGTGATCCTCCAAGTTGACTCCTAGCCCTAACTTAACCCTAACACATCTAGATCGCTTGTGGAACCTTTTAAGGAGCCCTCGAAAGAACCCTTCAAGCTACCAAGTCCCATGATCCTCCAAATCTGGCCTTCGGTGTGAATGATTTCAAGAAGCCTGCACTAGGGATCGATTTGGGATCATTCTTTATTTCCCTTGATTCTTCAACATACGGCCCTAAGTACAAAAAAATGTTGATGGACAGTTGAAATCGACACCCAAAGTTACCCTAAACCCCAAAACCTAAACCCTAAACCCTAAAGGATCCCTAGGGACGGGATCAGTACTTAAAGGCTCCTGGGACTTAGTAAGTAAGGTCATAAGTAGGTTATATAAGTAGGGTAACCCCACTTAGGGGACTTATAACCCCAATTATAACCTACTTACTATGTCCCATGAACCTTTAAGTAGAGCCAGCCTTAAGCACATGAGCTCCCAGGCGCTTGGAGTCAGTTCGCTGGAAGCGCGACATTCTGCGCCGGGCCAAGAAGAGTGTAGGGAATCTTTTGACCTTTAAAAGGCATATAAAGAGTACTAGAAGGGTTACTATAGGGGTTTCGTATAGGGCCCTAAATAATTACCAATGCTGTTTTGGGGTTTCCTTATTGTATTTCTAGCATGATGGGCCCCAAAACCTTATTCTAATTACTAAGGCCCGTATATTAGGGAACCTTTAACCTTTTGGGACTGATACAATCGCAATGTAAGTTGAAAGGTTGTCCTTTTCCTGGGCCAGGATAGTCAGCCCCTCAGAGACCTCAACCTGACAGCGAGGTACGTGTAGGGATCTGAATGCTTAGTAGCAGCCTCCCTTTGTTGTCCCAACATCGTTGCACTATATCATGGCCCAGGACTGTGAAAAAGGTGCATCGTCCTGTTAGTTCGTCAACAGGGTTGAGCAGCTGAGAGGGGATCAAAACAATAACGGGGAACTGCGCTTCGGACAGTACTCGGTGGGCAGTACAAGTAGCTGATGATGCGCACGGATGCCGACTTTTTTAGTGTGAGTGCCATGGTGCCAGGAGTAGTCGTTAATGCTCGATAGTGTGCAAAACGTGCAGGGTAGTTCGGTTTACAAAACCCTTTACCTACTTAAGGAGTGCAAACGACCTCTCTATGCTCTAGTGCAGCTGTTTCCGGGGTCGCCATCAACGAGGACCGAGGAACTGCATGCCCGCGCACACCCGAAGCCGGCACAGCAGAGAAGACATCGCACGATGTTTGAACAGCGCAACCTCAACCCAGCAGAGTATCAGTTGCCAGAACAGGGACCTCCACCACATAATATGGTTTCCTGATCGTGGTGACTTAAACTGAATCCATTAACATGAACCCAGCAGGAAGGCCTCAGCACTCAGAAGCTTCAAGCAGTTTAGACCTCGCTGCTGGTAGCACGGACGTTCTGGAAGCTCCGGCTTAGGACGATGGCACTGTATTTGTGATCACCATGGTTGCACCAAGCTCTAAACCCTGAACGGTTCAAGCAACGCAGAGAGCTGCCAAAGGCAGACCAAAGAGCATCCCGCCTGCAACAAAGGATGCTGGATGTGGCTATGGAAGACCAGCTGAGGTGGGCCTCGTTGATGAGACTAAGGTTCCGGTGAGGGTTTCTATGACCGCTCCATTAGGGGGTTGTAGGGCTTTAGACCACTTGCAGTATGTGCGTGTATTCTTGGGATGGTGCAAAGGTTCAGGGTTCGGAGACCCCGACTGGAGCTTCGTGTGTTTGAGGTCGTTGTTATTCTACCCCTTGATGTTCTTTCGCAGACATACACATGCAAACAACATGGGCCGATCATTTCAGCCTTCGTGGCAGGCTACTTGCATGACTTGCTGCGTGCTGTGGGTTGAAGAACATGTGTGCAATTTCTGATTTTTGGATGATCGTGGCGCCCGCAGAGCAGCTGTCCAATATAGGGGCCTTCAAAACTAGAACAGTGTTTTCGGGTGCAGTGTAGTATAAGTGCTCGTTAGGGCCTGAAACTTGCGGTAGTTGTCCGAAATCCTTACTATCGAAATTCCATGCGAGAGTCTCGGCTTGCAGCGTGTTGAGCTGGAATGATGGCCTGAAATCCGTAAACCCCAACACAAAGAACCCAGCTGTCTGCAATAAGGAAGATGCTTCCAATTACGTGAGATGTTGTGTAAGTTGGTCTGAAGAAGTAGTAGTAATACTAATACATCCATACACAGTCCCCGGTCTGCTTTCGTTATTTCTCTGTTGGCTTACTTTACAAAGATTAGAAAGGCCCTCTTACTTCTTAGAGAACCGAAAAGGAAGCGCGAGTATAGGAGCCTGAGTAATTCGTGATCTCATTCCCTATTGTTCTCTGGTTTCTTAACAAAACTGAAACCCTCAAAACCTCAATCTCATTATTCAGGCCCCTGCATTATTGCTCTAGTCAATCTCTGGGTCTTGCATGAATACTTGATCGCTATGCCCCAAACCCGAAAACCTGACCCCGGGTTCAAGGCATCAACCCAGACCCTAACGAGTCTGCGACTTCACTATCAGTCATACTTAAAGGATCAGGGGACTTAGTAAGTAGGTTAGAATTGGGGTTATAAGTCCCCTAAGTGGGGTTATCCTACTTATAACCTACTTATAACCTTACTAAGTCCCATGAGCCTTTAAGTGGTGTACAACCCCCCGCCCAGATTGTCATATTTGACGAATCAAAGCCTCTGTACCACCACCTGAAGCCAGAAGCCCCTGCCAGGAGCTTAGCCGAACGCACAGATCCCTCGAATCTGGGACGCCCAGTTCTCGGTGTTGGGGGTGCTTTTAGACAGATCCAGAAAGGGAAGCTTAACGTTTCGACTTGAGGTAGTCGAGTAAGTAACCGTTGACGCTTTTGGAGTGCAACCCCTGCATAACCGCCGAGGGGTATACACCTTTTTGTTGCTGGGAAGCTGGCTAACTGGGTCTTGGCGATCGGGTTTAGGGTTTAGAGTGCCCAAACCGACAACATTCAGCACGAAGCTCCAAAGCTCAAATCCTTCGCTCTGCAGTGCAGCGTTTCGTGAGCATTCTGAGGTCTTTAGGAAGACTGGATAATGAGGAAAGTGGTATCTTGCTATTGCGTGTCTATCGGGCAGTGAGCGGTGCGCTTCAAGCATCGCAAGTCCCCAGAGATTCCAATATCCCTGAATAATAGACATGTACAAAAGAAATAGTAGGGATCCTACTACGATTTGAGGTATATTCCTGAATCATCTTATAGAACCCTTACAGATCCTTTTCAGGAACCTTGAGGAATAGTCCTTGATTAAGGGGTTTGGGAGTCTCTTTGGGTTTCGGGTTAAGGGGTTTAGGGCTTAGGGGGTCCAACCGAACATCTGGGGTCAGTTGTTCAAGCCGAAGGCATGCGAAGTTTGAGGAAACTCAGAGTCCTTTCGTGGGTCGTGTGTAGTGTAGGACCCTCCTCTACACAAGATAACTGCCACCCCCTCTGATTCAAAAAGCCCAACACACCAAGCCCCGGAATCCCTCAGGGCATATGATAATGAAAACTACCTTGAATGGGTCCAACATGCCCCGAAGCTCCCTGCAAAAACCAGAAGCTCATCTCCACTTTAGGTGATGAGCTGCTCAACCTGATCTGCATGATCCTAGAAGATCTGATGGTCTCAAGACACGACCTCTCTCTGCAGCAGGCTTTGGAAGCTGGAATTCGGTGACATCGAGCTTCGGGTTTGGGGGGTTTCAAGTTGCACGAACTGGGTGTCGGACGTTGCTGCGATAGTTTGGTCCGCTGGTCATCGTCTTCCCTTGATGCCTTAATGAACAAGCCGGGAGGTTGAGATTAAGGCTATCGAAGGAAACTAAGGACACATTCCATATTACAAAAAGGGAAGTGAGCATGCCTTCGTGCAGTGAACAACAGGAAATCCAGAGAAAAACAAGAATCTCTTCCAAAAAAATCCGAAACCACAAAGTAACAAACTCCCCTATCCGCCCTTCGCTCGATTAGGAATTGGCGAGGGCCAACAAGTCTTCCAGAACGGGACAACACAGCCAAAGGAACAACTGCTTCGCTGCATGGGCGACCCGGGGTGAAGTTTCACACGTGAAACAAGAGCAATCAATCGTGTCTTCCCGCAGGAAAAGCAACACAAGCCTCACCCCTTCAGCAAAGCCACAAAGGAGCCCCACCCTTAACCCTAAACCCATGATCCTTTCAGCACGTCCTAAAACCCGTAGTCTAGAACCCTTGGAGGATCCCGCAAAAGAGCCCGTCATATCGAACCCTTAAGGGATCCTTCCCTCATAACTCCCCTTTTAGCTAGTAAAGGATCCCTTAAAGGAACCCTTAAAGGAACCCTTAAAGGAGCCCTTAAAGGAACCCTTAGCGGAGCCCTTAAAGGGCCCACCTACTCCGCAGGGCTACGAGCTCCTCGATCGCCTGAGCCGCGGCGATGCTGGAGGACAGCCCCCGCCCCCCCGAAAACCCTGAAAGTGCCAAACCCTGGCACACCATGTATATGCATATGTATGTTTGTATATATATATATATATATATATATATGAATACATGTATATATGTATATGTGTGTATATGTATAGGTATATATGTGTATGTGTACCTGTGTGTGTATATATGTACATATATATATATATATATATATGTATGTACTACAGGGGGTATAGTATATTATGGTATATCGTAGTGTGTTATAAAGAAAGTTGTAGTTCAGTATAGCCGAAAGCCCTGACTCTGGAACAGTCGTCTTTGCACTAATGCTTGATTTGTTCTCACCACAATAACGGTCCCTCTCGGTCTTGGAATGATGATTAC